ATCAGGACCCTCAAGCTCCTCAAGATGCATCAAGAGTCTGGCTCTACACCTGCAGCAAGTGCGGGAAGAGCTTCCAGAAGGGTGAGAACTTGAAACGCCACTTTAAGACTCACACGGGAGAGAGACCTTACTGGCGCACCCAGTGCGAAAAGGGCTTCATTCAGAAGCATCATCTCCGCACGCACCAGCAAACCCACCACGGGGACAGAGCACATGTGGGTGAGGGATACGCACCTGTCTTCCCCCAGGGTGAACGTTTGCAATGTCCTCTGGAAACCCACCTGTACACGGAGGAGCTGAGTGGGGAGCTCCCATTCCGGGTGGTCATTGTTGACGACTTTCCTTTTCCTGGCAATGAGGCACCGGGGTAATAGCCTATCCGGAAGGAGATGGCAGATGAACATCTCAAGCATTGGGAACTGAATCCAGGAAAATCTCTTGGGTGAGTGAAGATCAACAAAAGATATTGGAGATGCTCCCAGTTGTTGTGAGCTAACAAGCCACAAGAAATCCAGGGTAATCATCTACCCCTTTTAAATATGGGGAGATGCAGAAACATATCTGGGGAAAAACTCCTCAGCAAATTGGGTTGCCTTATGGACTTAGGAGTGGAAGGAACTCTTTCAGGTGTATGAACTTCTGGTCAGCCAGGGAAGGCTGTCAGAGAGTGACCTTCAGAAACAAGCAATGAACAGTTTAGCACAAGGGGGCCCACACAGGAGAGAGGCCAAATCAATGGACCAATCAGGTGTATGACTGGGAATCACTGAGCAGACTAATAACCAAAGGAAGGAGAGAAAAGGTCTAGCGTGGCGAAGGGGGAATCACTAGAAATAACAGGCGGAAACGGAGTAATGGTAAATGTAGGCTGAATAACCGTCTCCAAAAGGGAGACCTACTTGTCTGTGACACGGTCTCCCAGAGGAAGCTGTGGAAGCCCCAAAGCTGGGACCTTTTGGAAGAAGATGGACCAAAGCCTGGGGGAGCGGTGCTGCCATGGCAAAGGGGAGGAGTGCTTGAGGTGGCTTAATATGTCTCTCGTGTTCAGCTGCAAAATCAAGTTGCCATCCGCAGCACACCAGTGACGGGAGAAACCAGGACTCGAGTACAACAGCTGGAAATGAAAACCAAACCCAACCCACCTACTGTTAGAAGGGATGCCCAGTTAAGGCCAGATCCTCCACTGGTGTGAACTGGTGTAGCAACAGTGACCTCAAAGGCATTATCCCAGTTTACCCCAGCGGAGGATCAGGTTGTCCTTCAAAGCGGTGCCCAGAGGCAGGACGTGAGTGGATTTGCCGTTTGACAACGCTCCCAGTAATCGCCCTGCACGTTTCAGAAATGCTCCTGAGAATGAGTCCTCCTCAAATCTATAGGCCAAAGGCATCCCTGATGTAAATCTCCTGACTTCAGTGGCAATACACCAGTGATTTGTTTGGCCCTTGGTCTCATACTATAAACAGGAGATGAAGCGTTGCCAGTGTTTGCGTGTATTTTGCTACTTAAAGAAACAAGTTGGCTGGGGTGTTACAGACAGGCCAACCAGTCGTCCAGCCTTGGGTGCAGGACATCCCATGTGCTTTGTTTCAAGGCAGTTCTATTAGAAACGTACCAAAGTTTATCTAGAGAAAAGACCCGACCAGGTGGGTTTTGTTTCTTTCGTAGTGCCCATCATGGAGCACCCTAGAGGGTCAAGTAGGAACACACCCAGTAACCCCAGATGGGCTGAAGAAAGCTCCTTGCCCCAGCAGGTGCAGAGAGAGCCTCGTGAAGCAGGTTCCCGCAGTCCTGCGGGCCTGTTACAAGAGCCACACTTGTGACACTGAGCTCATGGGATAAAGCGGGGAGGCGGGCATTAGCCACGTGAGGAAGAGCCATCTAGAGATGTGGGGCTGGGCTCCTCGTGGCGCTGAGCGTTCTGCCCGCCCACCGATGCCAGGGAGAGCATGCAGCACCGCCCGGGAGGGGCTCGGCGCCCGGCATCTTGGGCATCTGCTGGAAAAGAAACCCAAGTGAGAGGTCAGCTCTGACCACCAGCAGGGGAGGTGGGCAGAGGAGAGAGCAGGTATTGGAGGATCCCTGACCTCCATGGGTTCTGTGCATGCCTGGAATGTGCGGGAGAGGGCCAATAAATAGACTGCCCTCAACAGGAGTTGTGGCTGAATTTTGTCCAGCAGGTCTAACGGTGAGAGCGTTGCAGGGGAAATTCAACCCATGCACATGGCCTATGCGCCTCTCAAATCCCACTTCAGCCAGCGGCCCCGGCGTGTGCACACACGTACACTAGCGCTCAGCGAGCGAGCACAAGTATCACTAGCAGTGTGGCTGTGGCAGCAGTGGAGACACGACCGAGCTGGGCCGAGTACAAACGTGCCTGAAAGCAGCGGGTCCGTGTTCTGCACGGCTCAGCCATGCCTCCGCTACCCGTGCTGCTGCCGCCAAACTGCTAGTGATACTTGTGCTAGCTTGGTGCGAGCAAGTGTGAGTGTGCATGCACAAGCAGGAGCCTCGTGCCCCTCGCTCAGAGAGTAGATGTAGCTTCGGAGTGAACAGAGCTCACAAAATGTAGCCACAGAGGCAGGTATGTTGTGAACGACAGCCTAGGAGCCGTGCACTCCTGAGTTCTGACGCTGGCTCCCGTGGGGGCTTGGGAAGATCAGGTACTGTCCTGGTGACCTATATCCTGATCGGTCAGACACAGGGCAGACGGGAGGGGGTTGGGAGGGTTATCTAGCACTTGAGTGCAAAGTGCTTTTGAGCTTGGATGCAGCTCGTTGTCCCCTAAGGAAGTTAGCGGTGGAACGGGAGAGCAATCCGTTGAGCTGGGGTGGCTTGGACGCTTTGGGCGGTATCCCTGTTCTGTCAGAATGTGCTGACAACACCGTTCTGAAATGAAAGGGGGGGATCGTAGAGTAACCCTCAGCTGCCTGGTCTCCCCGTGGGGGGAGGTTCTGAATCAGAGCTTTGCTGGGTCTATCGTCTTGTCTGTTCTGGAGGAGGTTTGGCATTAACGCAACAGCATGTGAGTAACATGGAAACACCTGCTGCTGCTTCCTGGAATCCCTTTTGCTGATTCGTGTTCTCTGTTTCTCTGCCCCCCGCCTGCATTCTTATCCAGTGCCAGAAAAGATCTGCGTTCCTTTAGCGCTCAGCTGGGTCGACTCTCATTTGCCACCTTAACTCCGCCTCCTCCACACGCACACGCACACGCACACGCACACGCACACACACACACACCGCATTGGTGGCAGCACAAATAGTCACTGTACTTTTGGGGACGGTGTGTCTAGGGGGCCGAGTAGGGGACGGAAGATTCGGAGATTTATTTTTGATCAATATGGTTCTACAGGGTACTGGGGCGTGGGACAAAAAGCACAAAGCTGTGGGCAAAGT